TCCACCGCAGCGGGCGGCACCGGCGTTGGTAATCAGGGCGGCGGTGGCGGCAACAAGGGCAGCAGCAGCAGTGGTGCCGGGCGATGGCCCTGGCGTTACCACGACGACTACGACGACTCTCCGGGATGACGCAGACCTCAGTACAGCAGCCCGGTCGTTTCGACTGGCGGGGTGCTGCGTTGGATCCCTCAGGTGGGATTGGGTTGGGCTGTGTGCTGAGTATCTTGTTTGACGAGATTGGACGATAATAGGGTACAGTCTCCACGTGACGGGTGTGCCTGCGAAAAGGAGGTACAATAATTGTAGTTATGTGTGTGAATACTTGCTTGTGCACACAATCTCCTCTACACGCGGACCGACCGTGTTTGCCTGTCCCCTCCGTCCTCCCGCGCCCCCACTTCAGCATCTGCCCCAGCATACATTGGCATAGGGTACCCCCACTCCCCCGCGGGCTCGTTTCAACGAATAATTTCCTGTGGGCACTGCTGTCAACCAGCTGGTCATTTCGGACCGTCTGGCCACACCGTTGACTCAAGCTTGAACACACCACGCTGGCTGAACGACCGCAAACCAGGGAGACGTTGTCATAGGCGAGAGTGGCGGCGGCGGCGGCAGCAGCAGCAGCGGCGGCAACAGCAGCAGCACCGAGGCCACGAGAGTCTGCGCAGGTCAGTCTCGAGCGCGATGGCGGGCACGACGTCATCTTCACAGCAGGGCGAGGACGGGAACGGGGGGGCTCCGGCTGGAGTCCGTCCTCCTCGACAACCCCTGCCCCTTCTCTGCAGCAGGGGAGCGGTGGTGGTGGTGGTGACGACGTGGACGGCGGCATGGGCTTCATGGTTAACAGCAGCGGCGACGAAAACTTGACCCCCTAAGACCCGTACGTGCGGCCCTCCCTCAAGAGAGCCATCGTCGAGCTGTCGAACACCTCCCACCGGCTGCTGCCGTTCAAGGTGGGCGAAGCCAGGGTTGCTTGTTGCTGCTTGTTCTGGTTGCTGCACAGTTGACGGCGCGTTGTACTTGTCGAGGCGGTATGAGACTCCAAACCGTGAGAGACCCGCCTCAATCGCCTGGGCGCTGGTTATTTTCCCCCGCATTCGGGAGGGTAGTCCCTGTCCTACAGTACGTCCTCGAGTATATTCGGTGAGTGCGTTTTTAATAGCTTCCCCTAGCGTGCGCAAATGAATGACTTTGTGCTATGAGGAGATCGATGTCCCGCAGGCGAATAGACATCGATTTCCAGAGCACGTTTGCTTGGGAAATAGTGCCCACCTCTTGTTTTGCTGGTGCACTCAAAGCACTAGACGTCAACAATGAAGCGAAAACGAATTGCATGATATTTTGTTGGTTTCATCCATGAACACACAAACCATACACGGAAACGATGACAACGAACGATTGCAGGTGTAGGCGATGTGGGACTGCGTCGCGGACGACGCTTTGGGTCAGCATGTGTGGCACTACCCGGCCTTCAAGATGTACCGCGGGCTTGGCAACCTCACCCTGCTCGTGTATATGTGGGGGTCAACATCTGGGTAAGCGAGAGAGAGAGAGATACACCAAGAGAGACACACGCAGAGAAAGAGAGAGCGGGACAGAGACAGAAGGAGAGATAGCGATAGCCCCTGTGACAGAGGCAGAGAAGGGAAGAAGATAAATTTCTTGTCACACTCCATTTTTTCGTGATGGTATGACTTGGAACAGGGCGAGGCAATCGTGTCTTTTGCGGCCCTGCTAGCACAATGTGTTCATGCGCTCCGTGTCGCGTCACGAGCCAATCTTAAGGGCGATACATGTCAGGTAAGACACCCTTTGCGATGTGTACGTGGTCTGCGTGTGTACCACATGTATGGGCACGAAGCCACCTCACGTCCTAACGCGTTATTCTCAGTTTCTCAGTCGACACCCTAATGGAGTACCGATTCCTTATCTGACTTCGTTTTTCAGTCGTTTCGTCAATATTCTAGGTTTGGAGGCGTTTCGGTATCGACAAGGGGTGCCTTCCTCTTGATTCTGAGGGTTCGTAGGTTGACCCTTACGAGCAGACAACAAGAAAGCCTCCGAAAATGTTGTCGTGTTACGCGACGGACATTAAGAAGGGCATGCCAGCCGCGCATCGCGCTGACCTCCGATCGTGGGACCTCTTGAAAGAGATTAGATGGAGGAGACAGACAGACAGATAGACAGGTGGCAGCTAGAGAGGGGGAGAGACAGAAAGACTTCGCTGACAAAAATACATGAGATATGTAACAAGAGGGAGTAGTACCTGCTTTGCGTGACCTAGGTTGATCGAGAGTGCCATCTCATGTCTCTGTGGTATCAAATTTTAGGATCCCAACTCCTTCCACTTGTATCCATCTTCTTCGTCCAAACAAGCGACAGGTCTGCACTCGAGTTGCTCACGGCCAAGCGGTGACAGCTTGCATGTGCGGCAGTAGACTCAGAGATTCAGAGTGATATTCGAGGTGGTTGTATAGAGACGCGTGCCTCCGTCCTTCCTTTGTATCGGCAAGAATTGGACGGCCTCATGCACTATGCGCAGTTTTGTCTTGTTGCGTCCAGCGCTGTTCGCTTCTACTGGAGCCTTGAGGGTGAATGGATGCCTGAACGCACTTTGCGACTATCCCCCGCTCCCC